GTGCATAAGAGCATAAGGGTGAATCCTGTAATTTGAACAGAGGGAGTGCTTTGAAGCTGCATGACAGGGAGTGTGCACTGGAATTCCATGGCATTCATTTTGTGCGTGTCCGTGTACGTGTGGGTGAGCCTGCACATGTTCAGGGGTCCACGTGTGTGGAAGGGTATGGGAGGGAGTGTGTGTGCTCCAAGGTAGTTGCTACGCTGTGCTGATTACAGACAAAGGGGCTGAGAGCCTGAGATAAAGGCCTGTGTGTTTTATGGCTGTCAGACTGAGCAGGCCTTTCTGTTGACTCTGGTGTTAATTTTGTTTGTCCAGCCCTGGGTGAGATTAATACCCTCCTAATGAGCTGGTACCTTGCAGATTACATCCACTCAAGGGGGGTTTGGAGTCTCTCCAGCTGCTAAACCCCCTCTCTCCCTCTACCACGCGCTCCCAGAGGACTGTCTTTACCAGCAGCAAAAATATCACTTCAATATCACTGCGCCTTTGGGTGAACAGAGTTATCACAATCTATGCAACCTGCAGAATGAAAAAAAAAAAGATGATTATGTTGTTTAACAAGCTGGGTTTTTTTTTGTGCCGCAACCCGAAACTGCTGATTGCAGTGCTCCGAAGATCGCCAGGGTTAAACAAGCCAGATGTTTTTCCCCGCATAAAAATTCCTAATGAGCTGCCACTGTCAGGGGATTGATGCTGGAATAGGCAGAGCTGTCCCAGTGCTCTAATCATCCACACAGATTTCTATCTTTCCTCAAAGTGTAACCAGATCTTCAATGCTGTAATTGGTCGCCTCTGTTCCTGATCTCTTTAATCATACAGGTAACCCTATCTCTGGGACTGCCAAGGCCTTAGCCTATACACTTAAAATGCAGAGCAAATTTGTGAGTAGTTCACCATGTCTGATACTCCGAACGCTGTACGTGTTATGCTGAGGCACCACAGAGGGCCATCTGTGTCTGATGCCCGGAGCCACTCTTACTGCTATCAATGCCCAGAAAACAGGACCACCCTCCTGTACAGGAAATGCAGCTGAAATTGGCTGCCTGTGACTCAAAGACCTAGCCTGTCTCCTCAATGGAAAATAGCTATCTCCTCGAGCTTGTTCCAGGTCACTGTCAGCACGGGGTTGATTCATAGCACCTGGGTTTGCATTTTGGGGGTGGTTATTTGCACTTTAAATACCCATGACTGCAGCTGTCACTGCTGTCTGACCATCACCTCTTATGACAGCAAAATGTTTGTGAAAGTATATTCAGGCATACAAATTTGCAAGGATCAGAGCACGCTTAAAAATATATATAAAGTGTTAGCAACAGGAGTAAACCTCACTGCAGTGCCGCGTCTTGAATCTTCACTGAGAAAAGCGCAGTTAAGTCCTTACTGTAAACATTTCTGTTAATACTGCCTACTCAGAGCCGGCTGCTGTGATCTGAGCGATGCATCAGAGGCATTGTCACAGCCTGCTGTCTGCGGAGCTTATTAAATTGCATGGTCTGAGAGATTTATTACCCATCTCTTTGGTAGGTAAATAAATACATAAAAAATAAATAAATAAATAAGCTCTGCAAAGCAAATCATTTTATTACTGCAGTAAATAAATACTGGTGCTTTGAATAACTGCTAATACCATAAAACAAAGATTGATGCACTGGTAATCTTTATGTACTCTAAAAACACTGACTTTAAATTGAATTAAAGCCTTATTGCCCTGTATGGAAAATGAACCCTGAAGAAGAAGGTAATCTTTTTGCAGAAGTTTGGTCACCTCCTGAAACTTGGGACTGCTTTGCACTACACTTAGACCACAGAACATTTACACTAGAGCTCAACACTAACGCTTTAGATCTCTTTGCCTGGGGATACCTGCATTGCTGTTGTGTCTCGATCCTCCTCATAATATGCCCAAGGATATTAGAGAGTCACCTTCTCTAAACTCCTTCAAATCCAGACTCAAAACCCTCCTTTTCAGAAAAGCCTTTACTTAACTGGTTCCATTCTTCACCCCTCTGCTCTTCTTAATACCATCTTCCACGGTCTCCTCTATTGTTATTGTTGTATTGTTGTAATTTTAATTGTGTCCTGTCTTGTGAAATTTTCTTATTTATTGTTGTAGTCTTCTTATTTATTGTTATTGTCATCCTGTAAAGCGCTTTGAGAAGCCACCTTTAAAGGCGCTATATAAAATAAAGTTTACTATTATTATTATATTATTATAACCAAATGTAGAACTTCTGCAGCTTCACGTCAGCAGGGACTGCAAGGCCTCCGACTGTATGGGACAACCCACCAGGGAGCACTGTTGCCCTGCACAGCTGGGTTTGACTGTGGAGGAGCCACTGGGCCAAAGTACAGCAGTGGACACGCACGCACAGGCCCAGGGCCTCTGCAGTGCCCCCTCAAATGTTTCCTGCTATCCCCCCGGTCATGACAGAGGAACGGGTTGTGTTGCTGCAACTAAATGAGTCAGCTTTTTAAGATGGGCAACACCCACCAAGTTCTCCATCACAGCTACCCAGAAGAATCGCCACACTTGTGCTGCCATTGTTATGGGTGGAGCTGCCATTTCTCAGTGTAGCATGGCTCCCCCCCAGACAGCTAAAAGCAGCCTAGTGGCGCCAACCTCTACCGTCCCATTCCTGCTCATTCAAGCCCCTCGCCCTCCCTGCTGTCACAAGCACTAGGACAGCGAGTCATTGCCAAGGGGCTCATCTTTTTGCTTTCCAGCGGGTGATTTGTTTCCTCCAAGGTGATACATTGTAATTGGGTATTTCATTAATCATTGTATAGTGCAACTTAATAGCCATACATTGCCGGATGAAAGCTGGGAGGGAGGGAGGTCAGAGCAGCCTCACTGCAGCTGAGGGACAGAGGAGGGTGGTAGTGTGACCCAGTGTGAGGGGTTGGAGGTGCCTACCAGTCACAGCTAAAGGGAGAGAGCAGAAGGCAGGACTGGCTTAGTTCCCGGAGGTAAGGAGACAGGAGGGAGGCTGCATCGCTCTGTGGTTCAAAACACTGCCAGGAGACACCCTGTCGATGGTGTGCTGCACCCGGGAGAGCATCTGCAGGGTGCCATTCATAGTCTCCGTGTGTTGCTACAATATTTCCGCTCTGTAGTTTTGTCCCAGCGCACTTACTGTTTAGCACTGAGAGGCAGAGGAATGATGTGGCCACACAGATGTTGTGAAGGTCTTCATCTTCTGCACAGATGGGGGATAGAGGTTTGGAGCGGACCCTCAGGGCAGAACAAAGAGCTTATACTGAAATAAACTTCGCTAGGCAAAGGAGTATGATGAACTTTCCTGGAGGTTTACAAAATTGTATGCTGATCTGTGCTTCGCTTTGCGTCCAGTTGTCCAGCACTTGTTTTCCCCGTTATCTGTCAATCAATCACTCAGGTATTGGGCTATGCAGTGTCTTTTCTTGAGTTCAGCACTACCTAAAAGCATTTGCAGAATATCACGTAACGTACTTTTGGCAAACAGGAAGTTATAGTCAAATTTTGAAAAAATAATTTGCATTTGGATGCTGAGATATAGTTACAGAATCTTCTAGCTGAAGGGTAATCTAAGATATGTAAAAACATGTTAATTATACATTGATAAAGTATTTTCAGGAAAAAACAGCTTTTTAATCTTTCTGAAATAGTGCATATCTAGAGGTCTTCATATTCTGTATTTGTCTTCCAACTTCCTATCTATTTCAACTTCCTTGAAATGGTAATGAGCTGTCATATCAACTACTTAGAGAAAATCATTAATATTCTCTAAATTTAGAATGAATTTTATTACCTCTAATGATTTTAAATGTTGAACTTGTGATGATACTTTGTCACTATCCGTTGGAGTGTCTGCCCGGCCGTCTCGTTTAACTACTAGCAAAAATAAACCCATGACCATTAAAAACCTACTCTAGGCTAAATGGTGAAATAGCAGCACTGACATGAGAGTCAAACGGGCTCTGGGATTAGTGGAAATTCTGCTTCAGGGGCTGATGATGTTGGGTCAAAAGCACCTTGGACCTTGTTTCAGAATTAGCAGAGTTTTAGTGTTTTTAACTGGGAAACAGAATTGTTGTATGGAAAGTGCTTTGTAAAGACCGTTACGTGGTTAAAAACTAAAAACTGAAAATAAGGAATCCTATTGTAGCAAATTGTAGCCTGGCTAATACCCACTTGAGTGCAGACCGTACAGGTACTGTAGGTTGGTCCTCTTTTTGGATTGCTTCCTTTTAATACGTGGTAGAAAGGTACTATCTTTTTAAAAATGAGAATTTAAAGACGGGTGTACAGTAACGATAAGAACATGCTTTGTCAGTTTTCCATTAATCTATTTAAGCAAGGTCATGTATACTTCAGGTATGCAATCAACACTGACAAACAGAAGAGAGCCCAGAGACAGCTTGTGAGTACAGATATCTGTCTGTGGCGGCTGTTGTACAGCTGCACCCCTGTAGCAATCCCTAATCCCTAATGAAGATGTTGAGCACAGCCAATTTGTTTTATTACCATTAATCAGTATTCAGTTGGGATGGTAAAACAGTATTCACTTAGGAGAGCAATACAATTAGTTGTTAGCAGTATGGCAGATTTAAGTCTGTAATCAATCCCTAGGGAAATTAGAATAGCAAATCATTAACCACAAGCTAAACATTAACATGTATTTGCATTTTTATTACACCTGAATAGAATGGCTGGCTGTATGCTCTAATATCTTACAGATACAGGTTTATGTCCTACTGTGCATCATTTCAATATGGCTTATTTTAAAAGTTATTCTTGTACGGTTCTTTTTTGGCTCTAAGGAGCTTGTTAAGGAAACCTTGATTAACTGAGCTTCAAATTCCCCCAGCAGAATTTAACTCCGGCCGTCCGAAGTGTTTGCAGTCTTAAGCACCGCAGACATGCAGCAGCTGACTCCCTGCCGGGGAGCCTGGCTCTCCGTGGAGAACTTCCTGGCTCTGCCCTCGCCTTAACCCCCTCCGCTCTCCTCCCTCTCCAGGTGAGCAACATGTGTGGTCACTCCTCGCAGCGGCTGACTCGCTCTGCTCCCCCTCCTCATCGGCCGTCTGGGGACCCCAGGGGACTGAAGACCCTAACCTTTGACCCCGAGGAAACCTTGGCTGGCCGGAGGAGGTAGGTTGAGCTTCGCTCCCTGCTAGGAGCATGGTCTGCATTCTCGGTCTCACTGTTTTCAGTTTGAAAATCTTTAAAAATCTTCAATCCTAAAGTTACCTCTGCGTAAAACACCCTATTAGTCTGATGCTTTTATCCGAAGCAGCTAACAGGATTCACGGTTACTTTTCAATCCATCCGTTTTCTGACTGCTAACAGGAGCCAGGCAGGTTACACCCTGGGCGGGATGCCAGTCTACTGCAGGGCAGACACACACACACACACACAAGCACACACGCACACACGCACACACGCACACACGCACACACGCATCCCAGGGCCTCTTTTCCCAGAAGCCAATTCACCCACCAGCATGTCTCCAAAACGTGGAGGGAAACCGGAGCTCCCAGAGGGTTCTCACACACAACCCAGGGAGAACATGCAAACTCCACTAACGCACAGACAGCATCCCAGGGATTGAACCCAGGGCCCCAGTACTGCGCCGCCATGGAGCCCCCCTCCAATTCCTTCTTCCATTCAGATTGTGGGCTTCTCTCACACACTTCTCTCAGATTGTGGGCGGAGCGGTGGCTCTGTGGCTCAGGATCTGCGTCTGTGACTGGAAGGTTTGCCGGTTCAAATCCCGCAGCCGGCAGGGGAATCCTACTCCGTTGGGCCCCTGAGCAAGGCCCTTAAACCCAACTGCTCCAGGGGCGCCGTACAATGGCTGACCCTGCGCTCTGACCCCAAGCTTCTCTCCCTGTCTGTGTCTGAGAAAAGCTGGGGTATGGGAAAAGATGAATTCCTAATGCAAGAAATTGTATAGGGCTAATAAAGAAACATTATAATTAACACCCTCAGCTCTGCTGGAGGAATGTGGGTGCAGCAGCAGCTGGTCAGGGGTCCAGTGGGTAAGGAGCACAAACTCCAGCTGGAAACGCGTCCCGCTGCACTGTGGCACTTCCTCCGGGATCGGACCAACCTGCTTCCCTCAAGTAACGCATCCAATCCTAGAATTCCCACTCCCGCCGTAATCGGAACAGCTTTTAGTCCAGCTGGGGAAGGAAGAAGCGTGGAATCCGAGCGATCTCCTGCAACAGACACGAAGAACAAAGCTAAATGTCAATTCGAAATGAAAAGAAAAATGAAGCATTTCATGACCCCTGGTGAATTAAGTACGTCAGGACTCACCATCATGGCTCAATGGAAATGAGGAGCCCACACTACTCAATATTTTACTGCAAGAGTTACTAATGGCCATTTGCCTGTCTGTATAAATCTGACGTAAATGAGAGAGCTGATCAGTCATGGCCCCGTTATCTCCATTTGATGGTGTTTCATGGTCGCAGAGAGATGCTGAATCATTTGCGCATTGACGGGCGTCCTTTTTGAGGAATGCGAGGTGCTTGGTCTTTTCAATACGCTGAGAGTGGATCCAGCGGCTGTTTGTGAACTGTGGGAGGGTCCTGTGAGTCGCCGTCGGGTGTGCGTGATGGTGTGCACCCATTTCAGTGCCTTCATGTGTTCATGGGCTCATGCCTCATCCATCCCCCCCGCCCGCCCTGCCTCTGCCTGCCCTGTTTTCTCTCTCCTTGCCGTCCTGACAGTGATTCTCCTCTCGTTTCGCACAGGGAGTTCATCGCCAGCCTGCGCGGGTTCAGCAGTTTCTATAGCAACCTGCCGGAGGCGCTGTGCAGCCGGGAATCCGCCGTGCTCAACGACTCCCTCTGCTGGAATGGGAAGGAAATTGCCGAGAGGTCAGGCCCCTTCACATTGAAAAACTGAAACTGGCGTTTCCTTACGATAGCTGAAGCCAGCTTTTTTCCTGGTTGTGAGGGTTGATTATATTGCAAGAACAGGTCAAAGGCGCCACTACATACTGGATGGGGAGAGGTTATATCACAGGCCGTACGGGCAAGTTAGAGACACCAGTTAACACAGCCAGCATGTCTTTAGCAGGTGGGAGGACACTATAGATTACATTTTTTTCTCCCCCAAACAAACCAGAAAGTTTATCTCATGTCCGTGGCACTTTCTGAGATCTGAAAGGATGACCGATACAGCTGAGTAGCGCAGTCACGGCCATTAAGGTCCGACTGTCCGCCTTGAGTGGGAGGTGAAGCAGAATGAAACCTCTCTGCAGGGGGGACAAGTAAAGGTTTAGGCCCTGCTGAAAAGAGAAGAAAAGAAACGCAACGTTTCAGCTGTGGAGGGTGTGAGGGACCTGAATTACACGGTTCTGCTGCAGACGTGAGGAAGTGCAGATCGCAGATTTAGACCGAATATCATCCACCCCAGTTTTAATAGTGAAAGTCGCGCACAGAAAGGTCCTGACTGATTTATTTGGTTGACGCTGTTAACCGAAGTACCTTCGATTAGTTCCCGGTGGCGCAGCTGGGGTTGTACTGCGGAAACCGGGGCGCACGGCCCGGCCTGAGGTAGCGAGAGCGCCGCACCTCCTCACATTTCTGCCCCCAGCTTTTCGGGTGCAAGATCGCCGCCGAGCCTGAAGCCGAAACAAAATCTCAAGCCAGTGAACGGGCAGAAAAGTTGAACTCAGCGGGGACAGAAAATAACGACGGGGGGGGGGGGATTCTGGGATCTGCCGGGGGGAGAAATAAAGCCGGAATGAATCACCCCTCTCAACATCGCAATTAATAACGATGATCTTTCCTAAAAATGAATGATGAAAAAACAAGGAGATGTCTGCTTTTGCTTTCAGCAGAGCTGAATATTTTATGGGGACTGAAATAATTAATGACTGGAACTGCGGCTTCTTACCCTTAGTTAATTGCGCTCTTCGCTCGGATCCGTTCGGCGTCACCAACCCGGAGTGAACCCCATTTGGAGCCTGTAATATTTTACCTTGCGCTCATTCCTTCTGCGCGGAGCGCCGACGCGCAAGGTGAAATGTGTATGTAGTCAGGAAGTGTAATAATTTACCCCCCGGGTGCAGAGGTACCCTGGGGGGTTAATTAACGAAGGGAGAGTGCTCGAGCCGAGGCGGATAGCTCTCAATGTCAAGCGAGACGCCGCGAACACTAAATATCCGCCGAGGTGCTGAGATTTTAATGAGATCAACTGTGGAGCTCTCCTTTTCGGGAGGGTTTTCTTCGTCGAGTAAACGCCCTCGGTTTCGTAGTTAGAAAAAATCTTCCCTAATTGGCCTTTACCGCGCCCTCTTAATGTCGTGCCCCCCTCTTGAGCGTCTCTTTTGAACTGAGAAGGCGGTAGCGTTCCGTCTAGAACTGCTGGCCGCCTCTGGAAGTAATACGTACTGTAGGACACGCTAACTTGCTCCCCCTGGTGGAAGGACATTGTAGCTCTTCAGTGTTGGTCTTCGCAAGAAAAAAACAGACAAGGGGCAGGCTTTAAGAGCAGTCGACAGGGAAGAAGTGTTTTACAGTATATTTGGTTACCCAAATAAAGTATCATGGTCAAAATGTCAGATCCAAAGCGAAATGTTTCTAGACGTCACCTTTTTTTTAAACGACAACGTAACAGGGGGACTGGAAAGGGCCAACTAGACGAATCTTGTTTACCTTTTTAGTTCGTTTTGGGGGGGAGATAAGTGGGTGTAAAACTCTTGCATCGAAGGGAAAAAAAATAAGAATTGAGATTATTTGTCATCTGTAAATTCGGATATATTTGCGTACATGTATATTTTTCTTTTTTAAAATAAGGGAGGCGAGAAAGGTGGTGGGAGAGGGTGTCAGCACCCACAGAGCTGGCGGCTGTCCTGGGTGCTGCCTGCCAGACTTCTGTTCCTGTGACTGACTCCCACAGCCCAGGCTGGCTGACGGCGCTGTCTGCTGTCCCTGCGCTGGAGACCCTCTCTGAGGGAAGCGTGCCGAAGCGCGGCGCTCCATGATTTCTTTCGGGAGCGGTCGCTCTGGTTTACAGCGGGGATTCAGGACACATTTCGGAGTTTTTCCCGAGAGCGGTGCTGTGCGTGTGGGTTAGCTCCGACGCGTGACACGGTTGCCCTCTGACCTCACGGGGGCGTGGCTCAGCCGGGGGTGGCCGGCTCACTCCCTCACTCTGCCCCGCCTGCTCGTTGATGTCTGCCGGACAGGTGTGCTTTTACGACTTCACCTTTCTTCGGAGGCCATCAAAGTCTCCTTGATGACAGGTGACGGTGGTCGCAGCGCTGAGTCTGGAGGAGAGAGGGGCTGGACTGGAAGCACAAGAGGCGGCCAGCTCACACTTCTCTTATCCCCCTCCCAGTGCCCTGTTCCATCCTCTCCCAGCCCGTGTTTCTCAGTTGCTTTGCACCTTAACTTTCTGCTCTCAGACTCTTGCCTCTTCGTTCTGTTTTTCATGCTTGTTCCCTCACTTACCTCTATTGTGTCTCATTTTTCCTTCTGCCATTATTCGTCATGCATGTTTCTTTTCCCTTTTACTGTCCACTTTGTTCTTCCTCAGTGTCTTTCACAGCCCATCTCTCTGTCACTCTCTCTGTCTGACTCTCTCTCACCCTGTCTCTGTCTACACCTCTCTCACCCTGTCTCTATCTCCCTCTCTCTCTCCCTTTCTCTGTCTACACCTCTCTCACCCTGTCTCTGTCTCACTCTCTCCTGTCTGTCTCACTCTCTCCTTCTCCCTGTCTCTGTCTCCCTTGCTCTCCAAAAATATGTCTTTCTCTGTCCCTGGAATTGAGGGGGACAGGGTGTCACTGACCACTGAGAGCAATTTTCCTCCACCCTGAGAAATCCTCCCCTATAGCAGTGGTTACTCTGCAAGAGACCCGCAAGGCTTCGGTAGATTACAGTAGTGGAAAAAAGTAATTAAAAATCGAACAGGTGAAAGAGGATATCATTCTGCAATGGTCACAATTAGCTGTCCATGTCCTGGCTTTTCTGTGCTGGTGTGACTGTTGTTTGTAAGCCAGTGTAAAACTGGTCTCAGTCTCCTCCCACCTCCAGTTATATCTTACTGTGATTTCCAGCCGTAGAAAACACAGCAAACTGCAGTGTCTAGCAGGTCTGCAGCAGCAGGGTGCCTGTGGCGTCCTGCGCAGTTCGCCTGGTGCAGCGTGGAGGCGCCCTGGGCTCTGCTGTCCTACACAGGCCGTGCGAGTTAAGCTGGAAATGACTTTCAGGGAAGGAGGTGTCCACTACCAGGAACGCCTCTCGGGCCCTAACAGTTACTCCGCCTTCAGAGCGACTTGGGTTCCTGGTTTTGAGATAGATTGTTCTGTCAGAGGCAGGTTGCAGCACACCCGTTTGCTCCTCGGTCTCGGATCTTTGGGGAGAGCGGCCGAATTTTGCTAGGAGTTTTAAAAACAGAATCTCCATATCCCCGCGTTACGGATTGCTGGATGGTGGCTTATATGTACAGTGTTATTAATGCAAATTGAAAAACAAAACAAACAGCGGAAGTGCTTGATGACAGCACTCTTCCCTTGAAGACAAACCATTCTAAATTGGCTTTAATGACCAATTTAATACATAAAAAACTGCAGTCGAACTTCGTTCGTAATTATTACGTTCAATCAGATCGAGTAAAAAAATACCAGCAGGAAGCTGATTCTCAGAATTAGCTCCCCGCTCACCTGATTTGAATAATAACAAGACTCACAGCTGGTGTTTTCATTGCATGTCTGTAAGTCAAAGCGGGCATTACAGGCGTGCCTCATTTGTGCTCATTATGGATGTTTGTATCAAGAAAAATTAAAATTTAATTGGAGGCAATTAAGGATACAGGAGTCCTGAACGTACCCTGGGGGCTCTGGCAAACTTGAACAACCCAGAGGAGCTTAAGACAGTCTTGTGATGCACACTGTGGCAGCATGTCACTGAGCTCGCTGTCATGAAAAACGGAACAAATTAATAACTTAATTATAATAACATGCAAGCTACTTCCTCGTCAGGTTTTCTGCCGTTGTAGCAATTCACTTCTCCGATGATTAAAAGCTTTTAAATCTCTTTTTTTTTACCAGTTTGTTTAGTTGCTGCTTTGTTGTTTCTCTGATTAGGAGCTGGAGGAAAGCATGGGCCACGCTCGAACGGCTGGGGCTGATTCAATCTGGAAATTCCAGTCCCGTGTTTTTTTTTGCTTTCTGTTAGACTTCCAGTCTAAAAATAGCGCCAGGGATATTTCATACCCAGGCTTGCTTTGCTTGGATGATTGAATCCCAAAACCACCTACTAATATGATTTAAACGTAATCGTGTTTAATATCAACCCAAATTAGTCCTTGGCAAACTCCTGGGTAAAGGCAGAAAGTCGAGTCCTGCATTATTGGTTTTCACTGCGCTGTAGGAACAGGCTGTAAATCAGGGACTTTGCCAAGTTAGCAACACATCTTTCCTCCTCCTCTTAATATGCAACTCCAAAAGCTTCATGACATATCGTTAAAAAAGAAACTCCAGCCCTCCATCTTGGTAACCTGTTTTAAAGTGATGCTCTCAGACCCAGTTAAAGCAGTCTAAGCTAAGGGTTTGCCCTTAATTCCAGGGCTGAAACTTTGTCCCCCTGTCAGGACTTGATAAGGGCTCTGACGTCCCTGATGTCACCTCTGAAGCTGTGCTTGAGAGCATGGGACGCCCTGCAGGATGCTATCCCAGATAGCCATGGAGAGCTACAGAGGAGCCGAGCTCCTCTCTGTAGCCAAAATGGTCCACATGGACCAGGCTTGTGCGGCATGTGTGAGCCTGCTTGTGCGGTTTGCTGCAAAGTCCTGCCTCATTTAAATTCTCTGATGTACCGGATGACTGTCTTCATTAAACAAAGCTGTCTTTTGTTTTTTTTAATTCTTTTTTTTTTTGGCATTCCCTTTTTTAGCTTTAGGAGTGTATACTCATGTTATATCAACAAACATTCCAGTGGATTACTGTAATTACAGCCTTCAGTCACTGCGCCGCACTGCGCGGAAATCTCACGGTTCTGCTCTCCATGATGGGACACAGCTGGGCGTCTGTCAGCACGGGGCTGTTGTTCCTGAGAATAAGCGGAGACTTTTTATTTGGTGTGTCGCATGTTGCTCAGGGCATGACAGACAATGCAGCCCAAGGCAGGCGTCGCTCTGACAGAACCAGGAGGTCTGAGCTGCATTGGGAAATGATTTTGCCATCTTGTGGCGTACAAAAGTTCTTCAAAATCTGCCCATGTCAGTGCTCGCTATTACCAGGAGATGGCGCCGTTGGAGTTAAAAGCCCAGAGGAATGTCTGGAAAACTCGCCCTGCAAAAAAGATATTTGGGTTTGTCTCATAAACTCCCTGCAAGAACACTGTGTAGAGACAGAGGGGCAGTTGCAATGCACAGCTGAGAACAATGCTGCCCAGTGTCGTGCAGTGACCACTGTGCACGTTTCAGAATCTGTTCAGGGGATTGCTTCTTCCACTCTTTGAAAAGGTGGCATGGCAGGCCAGACCTGTCAATAATGTTAATAATAATAATAGCGAAGCCAGTTTCACCACACCCCCCTTTCATTTAAGTGCGTTGATTTCAGAAGCATTTACTTTGGATACTGTGAAACGCATTTTCTGAAAATCTGCGGCCTTCTTTGTGCCTGTCATATGGGCAGAATGCTTATACGAACTGAGGTTTATTTGCCTGAAAAGTGAGGCGATATAGATCAAGCCGATTGCTTATACAGTAATAGGTATGAAGGTGAAGTGTAGCCCAGAGCCACAGCGACTCACCTGGTTTTGTAGCATTAAGTGGGCTAGAGAGCCTGTGACTGGAGTGGGGTCAAGCACGTCACTCCAGGTACAACAGCAGTATCTGCAGCAGGGACTTGAACCCACAACCTGCCAGCCAACAGCTTACCCACTAAGCTTCGCCACCCCATATTTATTCAGTAAGAAAGGGAAGTTAAATAATTGCATTTATTACATGTCACAGTGCTGTCTTATGTTTTTCTTTTAGAACGTCACCCTATGGACTTCACAACGTCCTTGCACAAAATTAATACGATATTCTTAATAATACACAGTTCTTGCAACGTTAGTGTTAGTGTGCAAATGTGACGTAAGTGTAAGAACAAGCATGCAATCCGTAAATAAGTGCAAATGTGACGGGTCAGAGCAGAGCAGAACAGAACAGAAGACACCAACAACACAAGTTGAAAATAACACAAAAATGCATTTTGTTTTATTTAGAAGTTAACATTGACAGGTAGCACTGCTCGTTAAGTGTTCAAAAAGTTCAGGGGTTGATATGTGGCAATGCTCCGGGTTGCATGCCTAGTCAATGGTGTCAGCCTGCAGAATGGTTAAAAATGGATAAACGATTTTTGCTCTGACCTTCTCTGATTTGTGCAGACAAGCATGGTATAACTGGCATACCCCAGTACAACCAACTCTAAAGTGAAATCAAATTCCCTTCATACGATACAGGCAGCACCAGTCCTGTGAGGGCTTCCCATTACAGGATGCTGAATTGCGTGATTGCCGCAGTGATCAATTACCCATGAGTCCTCACGTGCGACACACTGGATGGTCTGGCTATGGAGTGAGCCCCTGCCCCGGGGGGTTCTGGGACAGTGCCGTGGGGTTTGACACACGCTGCCTCTTTCTCTCTGCCTCCCAGGTTCCCGTCCGCAGGAGCAAAGCGCGCCCAGGCACACGGCACAGAAACGAAGAACAAGGCGCCAGAGCCAGTGATCAGCCAGATCATCGACAAACTGAAACACATTAACCAGGTGGGTGAGCCCAGCTACGCGTGCCCACTACACTGTAGGCCCCTCCCCATAATAAGTAAAAACACAGGACAGGTAACAAACAGGTGGCAGTGCAGGACGGCAGGGGATACACGTACCTGAAATTGCTCTTTGAATTACGCAGCCAGGGGGAGGAATATGCTTGCCCAATATTTTTGCACATTTATTTTTAACCTAGCAGTGTAGCAAATCCATTCTCCAGCTTAGTGTATGTCAGTGTGAGTCACAGGCATGGGAGATGCGGGTGTTTGAGCACGGCAGTTTAAAGAAAAACAAAGGGGATTCAAAAAAAAAAAGTCACTTATTATGGTTTTCGTGAGCAGATGTTTTCCTTAACGGGGCAGCTAGAGGTGTTTTTATTCCTGCTTTTCTCATACAGACATGTACTGTCTGTACCTGGGCTGAAGTCTGGGTCTGAATCTAAAACCTCACCATTATTCCCCTAATCCAGCCACAGACGAGGAGTTTTTTAATTGCTAATTTGGAGGGGAGAGAGGAGCTGTTTGCAGGATACTGAACTCGAGCTGTGACAGTCTCCTCTTCTGTGCCAGATTGTAGCGTTTTACTTTCCAAAAGGGATTAGGATTACACAGAGGAGAGATCATCTTTGAAGACGGGTGACCGCAGAGATTGGGAAAGAGTCAGACGTCACAGCACGTGTGAGGCAGGGGGAACAGAGTTGCTTACCTCTTTCTCAGGCATCACACAAAAACAGATTTTTTCAAGCCTTTTAAAATTCTCAACAGAGCTTTTGTTTTGGCATGAATGAAACCTTAATGTCTTCTTTACTGAATTGTTGAAAAATGTCCAACAAGTTCAAAAGACAGTCTGAACTTTTCTCTAAGCTTTACTTACCAAGAGAGGAGAGATTCCATAAATTAAAGATTGTGTTTTTCAGTTCCTCTTTACAGCTGTTTGCTGTTAAGCTATGCTGTATTTTAATTAATAAATTTTATGAATAGATAAGTCCCAAAATATAAGGGAATCCAAAAACAGCAAAGGCGAGAAAGTTGTGTGACTGCTGGTCTATCTGTAACAATTTTGTATTAAAAGATAAATAAGATGATCTTCTTCTTATGTCAAAATATTTTTGCATAAACATTTGTTAAAAAATATAAAAAATCTGGCTGCAAATAGCCTTGTGTAATTGACAGCATCATTAAAAATTAAACCTACTGTAATTCTAACATAATGTGCAGAACTGTAGAGTGTTACGGTACTGGTATATCTTGGAGAAAACAGGAAAAGATTCTGCAAATCCTGATGTGTAAAACACCAATAATATTATTATTAATATTCCAAATATGCTCGGCTTCTTGATCTGGAACCATTTAGCTGCTAGCGCCCAAAGTGTGCTTGTAGCCAAAAAAAACAGTTTGCTCAATTTTTCACAAGCTTTTAATATACAGTACATTTCTTCAGGAATGAACAGTGTCAGTGCTAAAATTGTGTCCATCAGTTCTGTTGTCCTTGAGAGTTTCTGAAAACATCTCGGTTGGCTCGTTGTAGCACCTCATCCATAATGTGTTGACCTGATCCTAAAAAACAAAGCTTTGAAATTTTATTGTATTTTGTTTGCTCCCCCAAAGGGTAAAAACTCAGACAAAAATACTTGTACTCTATGTATAACAATATTTAAAAAGTTAATCAGATTCAGAAAAAAGATGCTGCTGATGAGCTTGTGATGGTGTGTACAGAATCCAGTGACTTACTCTGCGTGATAATCTCATCTCACCAGCTCCTTCAATATTTTGGCAGCATCTCATTGCCAGTTTCTGTATGCCTATTTACAGATTTATTTACTATTGCTATGGCGGTTTTGTTGGAGCTGTCAGCTGGGGTGAGGCTCGTTAACCACGTTCAGCAGGTGAGATCAGGCCAGCCCGGGTTCGAGTGGAGATCTGAACCCGCGGTTACCAAGGTAACCAGGGCTCTATCTGTCCCGTCCATCGAGGCTGGTTTATGACAGGGCTGTGCTCAGACAGGCCCCGGCAATCCCAGGACCACTGATTCGTGCTCTTTTCTTACTTGGCTTTCGCGTTCGCACCCCGGCCTGCCTGGGGGCGTCTGTGTCTCCCCTCAGCGGCACAGCTCTCTCTCGTGCCCCGTGCACAGTGGGCAGGCAGACGCGCCAGCTCTGGGCTACTCCCGCCAGGGGGAGACCAGGGAGGAAGAGCAGGGACTTGTCAGGCAACACCTGTCCCACCGCTCCAATATCACACCTCAGCTCTTCTTAAACATAAAGCACCAACTGAGAGGAGCCGAATGAGCTGCTGTTGTCATGAATTAGGATACAAGGTTATATACATTCGTACACTAATTATACTTCTTATAGAAACAGTAGACTCAGTAAAGTAAACGTGAACATTCTTTTTGGTTTTGTAACATTCCGATCTTTTCCTCCTTTTTTAGAAAAAAGGGGGGGGAGGGTGGCAAAGTGAACAGGACTTAAATGTTTCCCAAATGTGGCAGTGTGTTTTTAATTATGCCTTGTGCATGGTGCTGTATTTTTAATTGCGCCTGGTGTATGGCACAATATTCTTTCATATGTCTTGTGCACGGTGCTGTATTTTAAATTATGCCTTGTTCACGGTGCTGTATTTTTAATTAGGCCTCGTGCGCGGTGCTGTATTATTCAGTGTGCTTCGTGCAGGTGTCCCAGTCTTGGTCTTTCTGTTAACTACAGGCACTTGTCATTAACTCAGAGGGGCTCACGGTAATATAAATGAATACATGAGCAGACCTTTTTTTTCCCCCAAAAAAAAAGCACCTGTTCAGCAGTAAACGGGAAACTGAAGTGCAGTAAAGGCAGCTATCAGTTTAACCCGAAGCCCTCCCTGAATGGCATTCCTCTGAAATGTGGATTAAACGCTTGTGAGATGGATAGGATCCTTTCAAGGTTCTTAAATATCAGTTTACCCAACCAGCTCATACAAGCCTGGCTTTGACTGCTACCTCGGGGTAACCCTATAGCCCAGAGGCCAGGCTTGTGCAAGCTGCCCAGGGGACCGCCAGTCTTTGTGCGGAGCATGACAGTCTAGGTATTCATCTGGAAGGAGCACAGCCTCCCCTCCGAGAACCCCTGTAGCACAAAGCTCAGACCCTGATCCTCTGGCAACCTGAGAGACATGATACCTTTACCAGAAAAGGCTCTTTTTCCTTTTTACTAAAAACAAGCTGACGAAGGGGTGTGTCGTGTCCATGCTCCTCGGCCCCCGGCGGTTCATAATGGCAGAGACAGAGATCGTGGAGGGAAGATCCACATCCCGTGGGCCTTATTGGAATTCCAGAAATGTTGTGTTTGGATAGAAGAACAGGAAACAAGAAAAAAAGTAGAAAAACTTAATGCGAGGAACAGTGAGAAACTTGCTTCCACAGCTGTGCCTTCCATTATTCTTCTGGGCGGTAAACAAACATGGTGAGCTCTGACTCGTACCTGGAGACCGTCGATCTGGTTCAACCAGGCAAGAGCCACAGAGAGAGTAAGCAGAGGCTTGTGGGAAGCAAAGAAGGACACACCTGCTAAAGAGTCAGTTTACCATACTGAGTAGGCCTTCACGTATACTGCAGACTGTGGTGGTGGACTGACCCTCAGAACAGAGCCAAGCCGGATGAAAGGAGAGACTGTCCGGTGCCGATTAAAAAATATTTTTCAGAAGTCGTGCACTGATTTCATTTCTGGCTGCGGGCTGGCCATGTACATGAACAGGACATGTCACAAGAGGACAGAAGGCATTTACGTCCTTTGAGCTCTCCTAAGTTCTGTTTCTCAGTAAACCCGGAGCCGGAACGGGTAGTAATGGGATCAGCCCCCCCCCCGCCGAGTATGAAATTATCCTGAACCCCCACCAACTTCATGCACTCCAGAATGGGAAACATGCAGACTCCACACAGACAGGTGCACTGAAACACAGGACGCGAGAAGCAGTAGATCCAACTGCCACGCCGCCCTGCCACAACACCATGCCAAAATGCCACACAACTGTGCCTCAGCACAAATCCCATCTTGTATATATCACCTTAAAATGGTTTTTTCTCAGTCCGACAGTGGACTGAGACTCCAACAGCGCCAGCAATGTTGAACTGTTGAGCATAATGCCTGAGCTGATTTATTTCATGGTGTACTGTACTCTTGCAGAAATGCGTCTCGTTTTTTTGTGCTTTGCTGCGTTTCATGGCCATTTCCCCAGTGTTTTACCATAGTTCTCTATGCATCGGCTCACAGCCTGCTGTTAATTGAGCAAGCTGTTGAAATCCTGGACCCCAGTTGACTCTTGGCCAGGATTTAACTCAGGAATGACATGTTTATCTCTTGGGTCCCCACTGGCTTGCAGAAAGAGCAATTTGAATCTGCAATAATGTTATGTCCCATATTGGCCACAGTGAACTTATTGAGACAGCTTTTAAACAAAAACCCGCTTTCTTCTCCTAAACAACACTTTCTCACGCCTAAACTGACTGACGTAATGGTCGACTGGGGCCAAGTTCAAAATAAGCTGTTTCGTATAAATGTGTAGGAAACTCATTTGATTTTTTTTTTTTTATTTGACCAATGAAATTTTAGGGCCTGTTGCATGAATCATGCTTTTTGTGTGAGTTAAGTGCACCAAAGCTGAGCTATAAAACAACCACAAGTAGCGCTTACACAGGTCCTGAGAAATCAGAATTGTGCTGATTGTCCAGTGGCAAAGCTGAGTGTTTTGTCTGCCACTGGTGCGTGGAGGTTAATGTGATTGTGACCATAGTGTAAGCTGTGTCGTGACTTCATTAGAACTCAATAGCTGAGTGTGTCTCAGATCAATAATGATTCCCTTCAGCTGGCTGGCTGTGTTTGCCCCCAAACTCTATGGCCGAGCTCAGGGCTGACGCCAGATATTCCCAGGATGCTTCCAGGCAGGTCAGATTTCTTCATGTGCCTTTATACTCAAAATAAACAACTTGTAATCAATGTGGCCGGCCAGCCCGAGCACGTTGCCCAATTA